CTGCTGGCCCTGGCGCTGCCCCTGGCCGTAGTAGCGCTGGCCTTCTCCGACGAGACCCTGGACAAAGTGCCCAAGTCGGAGGGCTACTGCAGCCGCATCCTGCGCGCTCAAGGCACGCGCCGCGAGGGCTACACCGAGTTCAGCCTCCGAGTGGAGGGCGACCCCGACTTCTATACCGGAGGAGGGCGCACAGTCCCCGGGCGCACGGTGTCTGCGCAGCCCGGCAAGGACCCTTCTGTCCTGGCGATCCTCAGCCCTTTGGAGCTGTGAGCCAATTCCCAAGCCAGTTCCTGGCCGTCGCGGGGCCCTCTGCCAGGGGAGGCAACCCCCATTTCCGATGCGCGGTTCCCGGGTGTGGGCTATAGCAAAGCAACGCGTCCACACCGGCCTGGCTGGGAGGGAACCGGCTGGGTCCGGGAGAACAGTGGAGACCCGCCTCTCTCCAGATCCGTCTCTGGAGTGGAGGGGACCTGGTTTCTCCCAGTTGGATGCCAAGCAAGGTGGTGAAGTCCGGCTTTGCCCGCTTCCATTCCTGGAGGAGAAGACATCAGCTTCTCTCTGACTGACACCCCAGCGGAACCCTCACTCCAGCTTCCCCCGACAGATCCCTTCAGGAAAAGGGACTTTAAGCTTCCCCTTGAACTGGGCATGGGAAGGAGGGAAGAGCCTGAAGCTTTTCGGAAGGGTCTCTGGACAGAACTCCCAATTATTTTCCAGGCAAGGGTGATGGCCCTGGAATTCTAGGACAGACCCCCCAGTGGGCCGGGCCTTCAGTGTAGCCTCGAAAAGGAAAGGGGAACCCGGTGAAGGTGGAAAGGGACGCCCAAATTCCCGAGGTCTGCTCCCTGGAGGGCGGGGGAGCATGGCTCTGGAGGATCCGTGCCCCAGGGATGGTGCCCAAGCGCCTCATCCGAGAGCAGGCGTTCGGGAGCGCAGGGAGGGGATGTTCAAGCAGCTGAATGCCTTCCGGGCATGACGGGCAGCTCCATGGCACAGACCTGACCAGGGGCAGGGAGGGAAGTCTACCTGGTTTCACCTGCCCCCCCCCCAAACCGCCCCCCTCGCTGAGCGACCGGGAGGATGTTTCTCCACTCCCACCCTGTCCTAAGTCAACTCTGGCACCGAGCAGGGGAAAGTGGGTTGTTGGGGGCATCTAGTGGGGCGAATGGGTTCACAGCCACCGCCCGCCCTTCCACACCCGCCTCCCCGGTTCCTAGAGCTTCGAGGGAGGAGGCGGTGGGAGTAACACGGGAGAAAGTTTGGGGCAGTGTCAGCGGGCGCCCGGGCCACACTGGCGACGCGGAACCAGGGGCCACCCTTTTCCGAACGCTTTTCCCGTTTCTCCGGGGATCCCCGACTTTCTCCACCGGGAACTACCCAGAGCCGGCTGCCGTGCGCCCTTGGCAAGTGGGGGCGCTCAGCGCTTGACAAGCAGCCGCCAGGACCCGGGGCACTCGGGTTGGCGGGATCGTCGGGACTTCACCGAGGGGAGAGGAGGTTGGGTGGAGGACGTGCGACCCAGCGACCCAGCGCTGGAGGGACCGGGCTGGGCTGGCGCGCGGCTGAAGGAGCTAGGCCTACAGCTGGGAAACAGCCAATGCCCTCAGTGGACCAGAGGGGAGCGGGAATTCGTCTCTTTAGCCCTCCCCCAAAGGGAGAATCTGTGTTCTCTTGGGAAATGGCCCCAGATCCACGTGGCAGGGAAGGATGTGGCTCTGGAGTCAGAGGGACTTGGATTGAGTAGCTGTACGACCTTGTGCAAGTCCTTAATTTCTCTGGGTCCATTCTCCAGCTGTGAATATAGCTGTTTATCCAACCTCTCTGTGTGCTTGTCCGGAATGAGTTTACAAAGATGAGTGTGCCTGAGGACTTCAATACATGTTAGTTTGAGTTAGACAGCCTTTATTAGTTTAATAATTCAGATTGGTTTTGTTTTTGGGGTGGGTGTGTGTGTGTGTGTGTGTGTGTGTGTAAACGTAGGTTTTCTCAGTACTCCACCTGTCCAATCTACCGTGAATAGCAGTTTTCTGGTCTTCAAGAATTAATTGAATAAATGAATGATTGATTTCTCCATGGTAGAAGCCTTGCCTAAAATTATTCCTAATTTAAGCCCAGGAGGATGTGTGTGTGTGTGTGTGTGTGTGTGTGTGTGTGTGTTTTAGACCAGTATGGGGCCTAGGCCAAGTGCCCTATGTGGCATTTCTTCCCAATCCTCCCAGTTTGGCTGAGCACTGGCCAGGGCCCCAGAACTGGGAAGGAGGTGCCTCAGGTATTCACCTGGGCCACGGGGTTCCCTGATTGCCTAGGTGTCCATGGCCAGGAGGTGGGAACTGGAGCTGGGGGCGAGGGGAGCACTAGACTTTCACCCTACGGTTATTCCAGCCTCAAATGTTAGTTAGCCTTTTGGACTGTGAGGCCCCCACTCAGGCTATGAGATGGGCAATCATCCTTCTCCTTGCTGGTGGCTAAGAAATCTTGAAAGAAAGACCTTGCAGAAACCACACTGAGGCCTTCTGTGATTAGCAAACCCGATTCCGCCACTCAACGTTAGGAAGAAAGGGGTGCTGACCTAGTTTGACATTTTAATGTTGGCTTTTACCTTCTTAGAATAATTGTGTGAAAAGTAAGTCTAATGCATTCTTCCTGGAGTATTGACTTAGGGCTGTGGAAATTAACATTCCCCTGGTGTTCTATTTGCTTTTTTAAAAAACTTTTTCCTGAATTAGGGCCCCTCACAATCCTTAGAATCAATCCTTGGCTTGTTTTCCTGCCGCAAATCTTTGTCCCCAGTATTCCAGTCCACCCCCAAATAGCTTCTGCTCTCCATGCTCCCCACCCCAGCATAGCCTTCAGGCTTTCTGGACTGGAATGAAATGGCCACTGTTTATTGCAAATGTATTGAAACATGGGGTTTCTTCTCAATTGTCAGGATCCAATTGAGATTATTATTCAGCTTTTCCAAGTTGTTAGTACTATATTGACTTCCCTCTCTCTCCCACCACTTCTCTCCCTCCCTCCTCCCCATCTGGGTCCCTCTGCAATAATTGTGCTTTAGAAAGCCCTGAAAGGCCTGCTCTGTTTCTGACCAGGGCCCCCTTTGAAAAGGAGATTACAGTGATTAAAAGTAACAAGTGGAGGATCCTCAAGGGGGCATTGCTTCTGGGAGGACAATTTGCAGGACCAGCCATTCCCAGATCACAATTTCAAGCGGAGGAGAGGAAAATCAGCTGCAATGTTCAAGAATTGATTGAAAATGAAAGAGCCTCCGTTGTCTGATTTATTAGGTCTGTTTATTAGGAAAATAAAGCCAGACCCTGGCTAATGAGAGTGGCTTTTCCTAGATGCTCTTTAAAGGGAAATTTCAAGGAACTTGATGGGAAAAGAATGTCTAGTTGAAATTTGAAAAGCTTCTCCAACTTCAAACATAATTGGGGGATTTATGCTAAACTGGGAGGTTTGGAGACCTCCCGAGCTGCTTTGCCTTGTCTTTCTCTGTCCTGCTCTGGGGCACACACCACCTCAGCCTGGGAGAAAGAGCACAGGCTTTGACATTGGCTGAGTCTGTTTCAACTCCTGCTCAGTCACATAAGTACTTGGTGACCTCAGGCAGGCCGCTCCACCTCTCTGACCCACAATTTCTCCAACTGTAAAATGAAATTGAGTTCTCGCACCCCATCCCCAGTGTTGCTGTGAGAATTAGAAATCATCCTTGTCAAAAGAAAATGGTCACACAGTAGGTGCTAAAATAAATATATGTTATGAGATGATTATTTTAGAAATAGAAAAATACTTGGCAGTGAGTATCGCATCAGGCATTGTGTTAAGTGCTTCCTACTCATCTCACATCTTAGTTCTTGGAGTACTTTGAGGTGGTTTATTCTTCTTATTTTTGCATATGAGAACACTAAGTCTTAAAGAGTTTAGTAAGTTGCCATAGTCACACAGCTAATAATCAGCAGAGTCAAGGTAAAAATTCAGGGATGACTGCCCTGGCTCGTGTGGCTCAGTCGGTTGGGCATTGTTGGGTACACCAGGAGGTTGCTGGTGGATTCCCCGTCAAGGGCACATGTCCAGGTTGCAGCTCAGTCCCTGGTAGGGGGAGTACAGGAGGCAGCTGATCTCTCTCTCTCTCTCTCTCTCTCTCCCTCCCTCCCTCCCTCCCTCCCCTCCCCAATCCCCTCTCCCCCTCTCCCTTCCTTTCTCTCTAAAAATCAGTAAACTATTCTTTAAAAAATATTCAGGGATGTCTGGCTCTTAAATCTGTGCTCTGAACCAGTCTTCTATACAGATTCAATGAAATGAATTGAGAGTAGAATGAATTCTCTCGGCTACCCTCAGCCTTCTGGATCTGTCTTCATTGAAGGAAAACAGCAGCAGCAAACCAAGATAATAACTGACGTATCTTGGGACACAAAGTATGAAGTAATAGGTCCTTATTTACATTTGCTTTTTTTCTTGTTGTAGACTTCAGTTTTGCATTTTCCCATAAACCAGAGGATTAATTTAGAAACATGAGGAACCTTGTCAATCTTTAGCCAATTCCTTTTGTTTGTGGGGAAACAGAAACAAATTGGATAGGAAAAAAGAAACTAATTTGACTATTGTTTTATTTTCACATGAAGATGCTATATGATCATGCCTGTAAAATTATATCTTTGAAAAGTATGTAGGTATAATCTGAGAAATTTAAGCAGGATGGGGTCTTTTAAATGAACTCTTATCTAGTTTTACTTTATTTTTATTTTATTTTTTATTTTTTTGGATTCTTTATTCTTTTTTTAAAATTTTATTTTATTGTTTAAAGTATTACAAATAGTAGTACATATGTCTCCTTTTTCCCATTGACCCATCAAAATTTTATTTTATTGTTTAAAGTATTACAAATAGTAGTACATATGTCTCCTTTTTTCCCCCATTGACCTTCCCCTGGCCTCCCCTACCCCCCGGCACATGCCCTCACCCCACATCTCCCAGTGTCTTGTGTCCATTGGTTATGCTTATATGCATGCATATAAGTCCTTTGATTGATCTCTTACCCTCCACCCCAACACTTCCCAGCCTCCCCCCTGTAATTTGACAGTCTGATGCATCTCTGCCTTTGTATCTATCTTTTTGTTCATCAGGTTATAATGTTCTTTATTATCCATAAATGAGTGAGATCATGTGGTATTTTTCTTTTACTGCCTGGCTTA